AAACATATCATACATAGACGATAGACTGACAAACCATGTCAGAATCGTTTTAGTTATACAATGAATATTTATCTCCACATTGAATTCAAATTTAACATACCCATATTACAGTGATCCACTGGAAACCTAATGTTCAGCAGAACCATATATGTACCCATTAGCCCAATTTAAAAAAAAAAATGACATGTATATTATATAAATTTATATATTGATGTGGTTATATTATATTTTAGTGAAGTTTATGAATCACCGAGATTCTATATGGGAGACAATTAAAATATAATACGAAATAACGAAATACCTGAACATTGTCGGATAGACAACTGCAATTGCATATTAACATTTTTAATTCTTTCTATACAAGGATGAAAGGAGGCTATTAGTTTATTTTTGGAAGGGGTTGGAATGTACCTAACCTATGGTGGAAGATGAACATAACTTTCGTGATAATAATATAATTATAATAACAGTGGAGAGTCACAATAATCAGCGCGGAAAACGCGGGAAAAACCACCGGAACACACACGGGAGAGTCACGTCGTATTATAACGGTGTGGCCCGCAAAATWTCTGTTTGCATCGTGACAGTTGTTCGACAGTCGCAGACTAAAGGTAAAATAACAACGGCGGGACGACTTGCAATACGTCAATACTATGCGACCGATTCGGTCGGCATTGAACGTCCGAACATCGATTTCAAACGACGCTGCGCCGTCGCCAAAACCGTCTGTCAGAGTGTCGTTAAATCGTTCCATTTCCGTAATTCCATAACACATTTCCGATACAGGTGCACAAAAACACCTTTCGTCGGTCCGACAATCATAATCGAGACAATTATATAAATTAAGTGATAATACGTAATTTAAAGACAATCGGAGCACCTTCGATCGCGTACACAATATCTATWATTGTATAATTATTTGAATAGGTACCTACTGAAAAATCGAATTTTTGATATTCTAAACACAGTACTGTCTGTGGTACAGATGGTAAGTATGATTAACGCCGTGTGTGATTTTAAAGAACAAAATATCAACAATCGAAATTATAGATWAATAGATCTTACGATAAATTATGTTGCGATAGATGACAACTAACGTGGTATTTCCAATCAAAATTAATTTAACA